CCTCCTATTCTGTGGTGAGATGTAAAGTATACAGCAGCCAGAAATTGCTACTTTCTGTACACAGAGATCAAACTCTAAAATTGCCGTGATTTTCTTTCACCCACCTGTGAGCTTCCTCTTTTTTGCATAACTCAGATTCTTAAGGGATCATCACGGCTGAAACAACCCCCTGCACTGCGATGCTGGTAATTTGATGAATGTAATGGCAAGTACAAATGTGTCTGACTGGTCAAAGCTAGGTGTCTGCAGCTTTCAAAGCCAAAGCAACTTTGGCTGCTGTTCTTGCAACAATGGCAGCAGCTGCAACGCTGATGGTTTCCTCTCCTGCTCACAGCTTCCCTTAAGGAAAATGGAAATGCGATGATGACAAGATTGAGAAGCTGCTTCAAGGGGGAATTTTCTTAGAATGTTTTGGTGGGGTTTTTTTGGTTTGTTTTTTGTGTTTGGTTGGTTTTGGTTTTTTTTTTTTAAATGCCATTAGTGAGTTCAAGAAACAAGTACTGACAGCTGGGAGAGAAGTATGCTGTTAACCCGAGATGACCAGCAGCAGCTGCAGAACTACAGAACGACTTAGCATACTTTCCTGCAAGTCTGTAATCACACTCTGGGAAGGCCACTTCAAGAGCTCTTTCATCTGTTTGGGAAAAACACAGTCCCCAGTTGCTGCTTGTCACCTGCTGGCTAATTGAGCTTTTTGTAGATTGCTTGAGTGAAGCTTCCTAGTAGACACGGGAATGCTGTCCCAGTGTGTTTGAGAGGGCTGCTGGTCTCCAGGTGGTCACTGAAAGCTGTCAGCTGCGACAGTGCCACTGGGGAATCTCATCTATTCTCAGTTTTCCCCCCTTCATTCATCGCCCTTCACTTCTCTGGTACCTTGCCGAGCATCAAGTGTTTGCACTTAGAAAAGGGCAATCTTTTGTCTGCTAAGGCCTGGTCTGATCCAGCAGCCAGGTTGTGATGATGCCGGTTGGTCTGGAAATTGTCATGATGTTAGCATTTTCGGGAACTTTCACCTGTTTTTTCTGATAAAAATTATGATGTGCCAGCACAGCTAACAACATGGACTTCGGTGGTATAAGCAAGTCCTCCTCTTATTCGAGGAGACCTTGCTCAAGGCTCCGTTGCCATGGCTAACAAAGCCTTTGCTGGAGATGACAGATATGAACTTTTTAACTGCTGTCTGTGCGACTGCCAGATGTCAGTGTGGTGTTCTCTGGAGCAGGGAGAGATATGGCAGGTGTTAACTGAAGATTTGAATCAGTCAAGCAATAAATGCCTCAGACAATGAGAATGGGTTGTGTTGTGAGCAGCATCTGTAAGGGCGAGTGATGAACAGATTGCTTTCTGAGGGTTAGCAGGCATAGGCACTGACGCTGCACTGAGCGGTTTGCAAGACATTCCTTATCTTGGTAACAACTTTCAGGAAGATGAGATTGCACATGCTTTTTATTTTTTGTGCATCTAGTTTGATAGGTTACTAGAATGACTGTTGCCGTGAGGTACTGGTTTTGTATTATATTTCCTATTCAAGTTTTAAGTAGCAGTATGCTGTCAGATATGTATTAGATATCCAGGTCAAGGGGGAAACTTTGCAGCTTGCTGTGCAGAGTTTGTGGGTGTTTGTTAATAATAAACACTGTGTACCCTGGGCTTTAAGCAGCCAGCCAGTCTGAGCCAGGCTTGGCTAGTCAGCCAGCGTGGGCTCCTTCTCTGTAGGTGGTATTGCCATGCATGGTTGGTAAATCCATTTTTAGACAGCCATGAACTTTATCTACAAGAGCTCTATAGCTCACAAGTAAGGATTAAGCTCTTTCTGTATCGTATATTACTGACAATATAGGACTTTATGGACTATTTAGAGAGCAAACAATACAAACAACCTAAACAATATATCTGAGAATGGTTCAGAGCAGTGGTTTCGGAGGTGCCTTGCTCCTACAAGCAGCTCTTCTTCCCAGCTGACTAAAAGGACGTATGGCAGGTGAGGTGGGCAATCTCCTGCCCCCAAGGAGGGCTCCCTCTCCAGACCCAGGGGTGGTGAACTCTGTTGCTGCTTTTGCAGCAACAGCCTCAAAGGACAAAGTTCTCCAGCAATGTTTACATACCTTAGGTGTCTTTGTACCTCCATGAGCATGTATATTCCTGTACACCATTGTTGGATTCCTTTCTGCCATCGAGAGCCACTTTCCTGCCATTCCTTAAGAGAGCTCAAACCTGTTAATTTTTAGGTTCTACCAAACGCACTTTTGCTGGCCTACAGTTCTCTTCTCCTGGGCCATTTCTTTTTCTTGCCTCAGAAGCACCTTGTGTGCTTGAGGTAGTCTTTCCCTGTTTACACAAACCTATCCACACTGTGGACTGTCTTCTCCTGTCATTCTGTCTGACTCTTGGGTTTACCAGAGCAAGAGAACAGTTAACATGGCTGTCTAGGAGGATCTAGATGTTGGAAGTGTTGGCTTTGCAGAGGGGAGAAGTAACAATCACAGCTTGCTGTGCAATTTCTGAATCTGCAGAGATTTGCTTATGTTAATCCCTACATTTTTGGTTGCTATCACCGGATCCTCCACTTTTTACTAGAGGACTCTGGAGATTTGAGTCTCTTACAAAGTTTTTTACTTCCTATAATCTTCTGAGTTGTGATATAGGGATTCTCCCTACCATGCAAGATAGATGGTCTTCTACAGTGGAGTGAATTACAGCAGGAGCCACGTGCATGCATGCTTTTTGCAGCAATCAGGTAGTATTTTTCTAAATGGGCTTGGTGGTGTAGGATGTGGGTTCCTAGTGAGCACCACAACCAGTACATTACCTGGGAGGAGGGCAGAGAGCATGGGCAGAGCCAGTGATTGTATCTGTGCATCTGCAGAGAAAACCAATTATAGAAGATGTGTCCCTGCTTTTACCTGAAACAGCAGGTTCACCTATGATTTGGGGATTATGACTTGATTTGAGATGGGAGAGACCACTGGAGGGGGTGGCAGGCTAGCTGTTACATGGGGGTAATTGCCTGCACAGAGAAGTAATTCCTTATTAATAGATGGACAAGCTATGTGCTTGCAAGGTGTAGAGGCTGGCTTTGTCCAGAGTAGTCCTGGCTTTGTCCAGAGTAGTACCTTCAGTCATTGCAGGTGTCTAGAAAGGCATAAACACCTCTTTGAGAGTTAGAAGGAAAGCAGCGGTGTTTCCCAGAGTTACAGCCCTGGTAGGGCATTTGCTGTGTTTAAAATTCTGTTCCTGTCCTTTGCAGACATGCTAGCAGTCAGCTGTGCCACTAATACTGTTTTGCAATGAGTTTTACGTGTTTGGGGAATTGTTTTTGACTTGAATATGGCACTTGTGCAATGTTACTCAATTATCACCTACATTGCTGCAGTATTTTGAGTGTTGTGTGTGTGCATCTTTTATGTAGATTGGAAAAACTTACTGATAGTGCTTTTACAGTTGAAATGTTTTAAATTTAAAAGTTGATTTTTAAAACAAATCTGATCAATATTGGAGAGAAAAGAAATAAAATTATGAGGTGGTTGTTGGTAACAGACTTGCATTATGGGTTTTTTTAAATTAATTTGCTGCCTGATAAGAATATAGCATATTCTTTGCCATATAACTGTAAAGTCCTCAGCTTTCAGTTAATAACATACAGGATGGTATGGTGTCTTCCAGTGTGGTGCAGTGGTGGTGCAGGCAGCTGTGGGGATTGAGGCAGGGAGCTAGTTAAGCCGGCAGTCGTGGAATTGAAGTATTGCATACACTGGACTTAATTGTAGCTGGTCATTACAAAGAATTGCCTTTTTAATGACCATGGCTAACACCCTGTAACAAGGGCTCTTCAATAATGTCATTCATATGCTGGTTCTGTGATTACCCCACATCCTTTTTTACCACCAAGGTCTGTACTTGAGCAGGTAGATAACTTGTTATTAATAAAGAATACCACTTGCTTGTATTTAGGATTGTCCTCTTATCTGGGTTGTAGAGGGTCTGAATAAGATTATTTTGCCTTTTCTCACCCTCCCACCATTTTAATCTTCAATAAATAGCCTGTGGATGGGCGTGCACAAGAAAAGTCACTTATCAGAGGCCAGGCAGCCTCCTTATTTTAGCAAAGCAGCCAGACAAGGAGGAAATCTGCCCAGACGCAGGGGCTGAGAGATTATTGTGCAGCCAAAGATTGACTGCTTCACAGAACCATGCACTTGAAGGCAGCTGATTTCATCTGTCATTAGTGAAGTTTTAAATGGACTGGGTTTTTTATCTGCCTTTTCTAGTAGGGGTTTGGCTGTTACAGCTCCCATTTCCAACACTGCCCTGGAAGAAGGAAATCTCAATTACAGCAAGCAGTCAATGTTGTTGCTTAAATTAGCTGAACCAGTCTTGCATGAACTACAATTGTAACCTTGGCCTGCTCTTCGCTCATCTTTCTGTTTTGGGAAGCTGTTCAAAAAAATTATTCTATTCTGTCCAGAAATATGTACTTAATAATATATGGGCGTTGCTTCACTGTGTTGAGGTGTAACATTCAGAAATGGTACAGCTGCAGTCAGTGACATTTCTCCAGGGCATGGTTGTCCTGATTGGCTCACTTAGGGATGGAAAATTGCGCTTACTATCTTGGCTAGTGTCAGAAGCTGGAAACTTTGACTTTTTTTCATTCAAATATGGAAAGCATTTAACTCATTATATTGTTTTTTTTAAAAGACTGTGATAAAACTGGATATGAGTCAGTGGTGTCCCTTGCTCCAAATCTGTAGACAGACAGTTTTTGTACTATTGCTTGCACTAGGACTTGGGTAAGTTTTAAGAGAGTGGAAATCGACCAGTTTTTATCAATGTCATGGATAGTTCTCAGGGTCCTCCTCTTTTCAGATTCAGGAGTAGGGACATTAAAGCAGTACAAAGATTCATCAGTGCTCCAGCAAGTGCAATGGAGAAGCTCTCCTCTCAATGCTGTTTTACAGCATCCGGGGGAAAAAAAAAAAAAAGCTGTTTCTGTCTTCTAGGGGTTAAATTGTCAGAGAAGGATGGAAAGGAAAAGCACTTTCAGGTATTGCCAACTACCAACTGGAGACTAGTAAGCCAGAGCTGCTGCCTACAGTCTTTGTACAGGTGTAGCATCATGCTGAACCCCATCCCCTGACCTTTTTCCCCTAAATGGTGCTAATTTTTAGTTAGCTAATTGCAATGCATGTCCTGATGTAAGGGAGTGGGGAAGATAGCTAGGAAACATTAAAAGAGGGAATTATGGTGTGCTCACATGTATAGAGGGAAATTTAGATGGGAGAGAATGAGAGATACAAAGGAGAAGAAATATGGAGTGTAATG